GGCTCAGTGGATAGAGCGTCGGCCTGTGGACTGAAGGGTCCCAGGTTCAATTCCGGCCAAGGGCACATGCCTGGGTTTCGGGCTCGATCACCAGTAGAGGGTGTGCAGGAGTCAGCCAATCAATGATTCTCTCTCATCATTTATGTTTCTATCTCTCCTCCCTTCCTCTCTGAAACCAATAAAGAAATATCTATCTATCTAGGTAGATAGATATTTTAAAAAGCCCACAGTTGGATTAGAAGAGCTATCATAAGTCTCACTAGGTCTTTGGGGATCTTTTTTCCCCAACTGACGGCTACAAGCTGCTTTGCAGAGGATCAATGTTGAGGAGAGTGAATCATTTGAGTCCTTTTAAGGAACTCACTCCTCTTCTTAAAGCTCATCAGATATGCTGCCTCACCTCTCTTCCTGTCTGCATGGCGTTTGACAAATCTTTGTTTGTATTTCACGGACCTCTCTCTAGCTTTGGTCGAATCCTTGAGTCATGGGGAAGACTCGCCAGTGACCTCATAGCCATGTGTGTGAAGTCACAGCAGGCCGCACAGCTGTAGCGCGGGAAGGGTAGGGAGGGGCGCTGTGTGGCCTTGGCCTCCTGTCAGCTGATGGGTGTGGGAAGGTGGGCACAGTTCACCAATCATGATCATTTTCTTCCTGGTGGTTTGTTTACGGAAGAGATATGATTATTACTTGACCCATGGAATCCGAAAAGACATGATTGCCCCCGAGGAGGATGAAGTGATGGTTCGGATTTCGAAGCTGATTCCTAGCACTCTGCTGATGAGTCCCTTCCTGGAACCCCTGGTGAACACCCTCATGGAGGAGAAGGAAAGTTACTATTACAACAGCCTCATGAAAAGCATCGGTAAGGCTGGGTGGACCTGGGCGGGGGTTCCCATGCAGAGGGCCCCTTCCTTCTCACTCTCAGTCCTCTACCCTGTTTTTCTGAAAATGCCAAAGCATTTTAACTTTTAATTCAAATGCCCCCACCCCACCGCCACTCATGTCTCCTCCAGCCCCCTCACACGTTAATGTGCACCCACTTAACCTGGGTCTGGTCCTGATGGGTGGACCTGAGGGGGCCCAGCCTGCAGAGCTAACAAGCTCCAGGTGAGGCAGCAGGTGCCACTTCCCAGGGGCAGCGCTAAGAGGGCAAGGGCCAACTCCACATCTGAAATCACACTCAGACCTGCCTCTTCTCTCCACTCTTGCCTCTCTCCAGCCCACAGTGCTCGCTGCATCTCCTGCACTCACAGCCTTTCTTGTCTCCACTGTCAGCTCACCTGTGCCACTAAGTCTGCACTGTCTGCATTTTCATGGGGTCTTAGCTGCCTTAGAGACTGTGAGCTCTTTGGTGATGAAGGCTGTCCCCCTCACTCCCCTTCGGCCTGGGCCCCAGGTCTTGCCCACAGAGGTAGGGGGACTGTTCGATGACCATGAGTGATGTGCGAAACACGCCAAAGAGGAGGATTGCTGGAAGCCGGCTCATCCTTGCTGCTTGACACAGTCGCTACAGGAAGAAACATCTGCACAGCATATGTTTCAAGGGACCTGGCGTATATGGCATACTATTCTTAATATGTTTGCTCCCCTTCTTAGCGCTATGTGTTCTAACCAAGGTCACCTCTCTGAGAAAGGTCGTTTCCCCAGGTGGGGATTTTCCCTTAAGTTAGGGAGGGAATAAAACCTCTTAACTAAGTGCCAGGCGCCAT